AGGTCCTGATGTATTTTCTTTTGTTGTTGTCGTTTTTTTTCTTTTTTTTTGGGGGGGGGGTCAATTTCTTTTATTTTTAGCTTACAATTCGACAGAATGTGTTTATCTGTGACTTGGTATACTTTCTATTATATTAGTATTATTGCTGCTACTGTTTGATTTCCTGTTCTTTTATTTAATACGAATATCAATATCAATCATAATAAAAATCCTAATAACGAAGAGAAAATAACGACAATAACTTCAGTAAAGCTTTCTTTTTTTTCCCTTTTTTTTTCCTTATATTTCAGACTGAAGACGCTTACGTCATCACGCAGAACTTATAGCGACATCTGGACACTTTACGCTTCATGCAAATAGAAGACCGTAAGTCCCCCTCAATTATCTGCCCTTTTCATTTTTTTTCTTTTTTTTTTTTAACACGCGCTTTCTCTTTTGCCAATTCGTTCATTTTATTTACAGTTTTTCATCTAACAAATATCAAGCAATGACTTTAAATCAAATGCATTTTTTATCTTTTTCTTTTGCGGTGCCGTGGGAAAGCAGTTGGTTTGCTTGCATCATTCATATTCATTTTTTTTCTGTTCAAATTCATTGTTCTCTGTTGCCCGTCTTTTTCTCGTTATTCCACGTCACTTCACGTTCATTTCATGTTATGCTGGCCCGGCTTGCAACGTCATCGTAAATAAGACGCGAGTTTTTTCTGAAATTACAAGCAACTGTCAGCTGGTAATCTATCTCTCTCTCCCCAACCAACCAACCTCCTTTCTCCCTCTCTCTTTGTCTCTCTCTCCCTCTCTTTCTCTCTCTCTCGATACACACACACATATATATATATATATATATTAAAATTTGAAAATTTTCTTTTAAATGAACTTAAAAATAGAACACGCATATATAGTAAGTAAACTGAATATATAAATATATATTTTAAAAAATCTATGAAAAAGTGGAAAAAGTTTTCGTGTCACGCATTTCGTTCTTTAAGACTTCATCGGACTAATGTAGTGTTTAAGCTGATGTGACTTCACATGCGCACGAAGGACATGGGTCGCTGAAATTTTAAACTTTTAAATTAAAATTATTATTACTATTTTAAAAATGTCTTTGGGTCTAACCGATTTCATTTAGTTTCTTTTTTAGAATTCCAAATAATGTTAATGGTAATGGTAGTATTAGCCGTTTTCCTATAAGGAAACATTTGACATTCATTGACCAAGCAGCCAGTACTGTTTTCAGTTGAAATTTATAAAATCTTTCTCTTAAATCACTTTTTTAGTCAAACAGATATGATATTTAATATACCCCATTAAACTATTTGTACATACTCATATATAGAAAACATTTTCTTCTGTCGTAAAAGGTGTCCTTTGTGCAATCTAGAAGATATTGCCTCTTTGATCTTGAATTTTGCCCATTATTTGTATTCTATATTTTCATGTTTTGTTCCTTGTACGTACCGCTTCTATATTTTGTTTTTGTTTGTTTGTTTTTGTTTTTTTTTCTTTTATCTGTTTTCATCTCAAAGTAATAGAAAAGCATTTTTGATACTCTTTTCAAAATTTTCAGGCCTTTTTAAATTCCAAGCCCTAACCTATTTTGTCCCTTATTTTCTACTGAACTGCTTCTTTACAAATAGACATACTAATTCCTCTTCTCTTGATCACGGCGTGTCTACCTATATTTTCTCCCGCTGACACAGTTCCGGCAAACAATTCCAATCGGGTAATTTCTTGGTTAGTTTCAATATTTTCCTTACGTCTTATTTTCTACAAAAGGGACGCCCTCATTACAAATGGGGGATGTTATTTCTTAATAGGTTTTTTGACGTCCGAAACGAAAAAAATTACACTGCTCCCAATGTATCACCCTTCTTTGTCACTGAAAAAAAAAACAAAAAAACATTCGATCATATTTTTGTCCAATGACGAGATAACTCGTTTAAAGAAATCGTGTTTAGTGATACGAACGAGATAATTCGTCTTTCGATAAACTGTTATTCTTTCAAAGGATGAAAGAATCTCCTTGTACACACAAAATAAATGTGCATATTTCATTTGATGGTGTGACAATGAGCCAACATTTACAACAAAATATCTACATTTATGAGTAGATCCATATTTTATGATATTTAATATACATCATTAAACGATTTGAATATACTCATATATAGAAAACATTTTTATTCTGTCGTAAATATCCGTGGATCTATATGAAAATGAAATCGAGAGTCTAAATTGAGGCACGAAGACAAAGATTTTAAAGTCGGAATTTTCGGACACGCCTTTTTTCTTTTCGAACGAGACGAAAAATAAAGAAAGTGGAACTAACTCTTCCAAGCAATGTTGGCTAGAGGGTATCCTTGTGTAAATTATATTCTCTAAGTAAACCAAAATCACTATCAAATCCCTCAATGAGTGATTTTATTTTGAAAAATATATTTCACTTCTGCTTTGCGTCTTTCTTGTCAGCTGTTGAATGAAAAGCACGCATCTAATGTCATCAATGTTATGGAACAAATGTTCCATAACATTGTTCATATATATATCTTTCCTTTTAATTATATACATATATATATATATATATATATATGTGTGTGTGTGTGTGTGTGTGTGTTCTGAATTTTGAATTTGAAACTTCATGTCACGCAGAATTGTTGTTTTTGCTGTTACACATTTTGGCGTATCTACAACAGTACAAAAAAAACATGAGAAATTAGAATAAAGACACCCGTTTTAAAAATAACGTTTCTTTTAAGGACCGAATTAAATATATGATTCATTTTGAAATTGATGTTCAATATTCAAGACTAATTCTTTGGGGAAAGGTCTGGATCCATTTCTTATTCCCCCACAGCTAAGGGTTAAATAGCAGGATATGTAAGGCTCTCTAACTTTTGTTGGCAACACATCTATAAGAAGGAAAACTTGCAAAACTTGAAGAACGCAACGTCGGTTCACTTAATCATTCTCGATCGAGAACAATCAAGGCAATGCACAAGTAACAATCACTGAAGGCATATTGTATTTTTATCCTAATGTTCAGCTCGAAGGTCACTCTAGGTAGAAGGCAGCTGTGTATAGTTGTATTAGCGTAAGGAAGGGCAAGATAACAGGAAAGATATTAGACTTAAAGAGGTCAAGAATAAAATTTCAAAGTTCAGGTGGAGACGTTATGAGTATAAAGTTGAGTATACATTAAAAAGAACCGGAAATCCAATCCTTAAAAAAGAAGTAAGCATCTACTTTTGTTAAAAAAAACAGGCAGGAGTGTGACCCGGACGATAGGCAAAACCCATCTACTCCTACTGAGATAGGTAAAATAATAATAATTACTAAATAAAAATTCAGATTATAGGCAGAGACAGAGGAACCGGAAACCCAATCCTAAACAGAAAACAAGGGAAAACCTTTACTCTTGTTCAAAAGACCACGAAGAAACTATGAATCGGACGATAGGCAAAACGATATGCATCTATTCTTATTGGGAGAGGAAAAGATAGTAATAATTACTGAATAAAATTTCAGATTTCAGGCGTACAGAGTTGAAAGAATCGAAAGCTCAATCCTAAACAAAAAACAAGGGATAGATCCCTACTCCTGTTCAAAAGATAATATGGTATTTACAGAGACAGAGTGAATGAATGCTTATGGTATTTAGAGACAGAGAACAAGACATATTGCATTTAGAGAGAGAGAGAGAGAGCGAGGGAGAATGAAGGCATAGGGTATTTTAAGATAGCATAAAAGTATCTAGTATTGAAAGAAAGAAAGAAAGAAAGAAAGAAAGAAAGAAAGAAAGAAAGAATGTGTTATTTAAAGAGAGGTCGAAAGAAGACGTGGTATTTAGAGAGAAAAGAAGGTATATGACATTTAGAGAGAGAGAGAGAGAAAGAAGGCATGTGATATTTAGAGGGAGAGAACAAGACATGATATTTATAGAGAGAGTGAGTGAGAAAGAAGGCATATGGTATTTAGAGAGAGAGAGAAAGATTTCATCCTGATCATGGCCAGAATAGTTGAACAGCTAGTAATTATCGAACTTTCTCCGTTATCGAATTAGTCTGCCAAACTGTCTTACTAAATATGCTTAACCAGATTTAGTTTATAAACTGATCCCCGAATCATAGATCAAATATATCAAGTCACAGTTGAAAGAATTGGACACAAAACAAATAATTATTTGCAGACAAAAGGACTAAACAGAAATAGTACTGACATTTCGCTCAAAAAATGCAATTGCTCGTCACGAAAGGGTCACTTATCATAAATCCTATGACTAAGACGTTAAACTATTGTAGCTGGTGTCACACCCTAGGCATCCGTTCGGGAAAAATGTTACTATAAAAGTAATGAGTCTGGGGAAAAGACAATTACAGCTGTCTTAATGGCGACCCTTTAAGGTTGGAAGCGGGAACAAATTGCAGACGGAAACCTGATTAGAAAATATTGCACTGACCGGGAAGTAAGGAAGAAAATTGAAAACTTGAAATAAAGAGATAATTGAAGAGAAAATCAAAAAGAAATGGAAGGGAAGTGAACAGTAATTAATTCTATTCCGAAACATATACACGCACCCGCCCAACGACCTGAGATTACTGTGTTTACATCAGTCATTTTGGAGCTTTGTTTATCAATCAAAACAAGTACTTATCAATCAATATATTCGGAGATACAACACTGTCTCTATAATATATTGGTTGTTTTATATATATATATATCTGTCCCTAATTATCAATTTCCTTTTCAATTTAAATCTATCTATCTATCTATCTATCTATCTATCTATCTATCTATCGGAATAGCTCGATAGCTATCAGTCCATATCTATATAACGGCAGCTCCTTTCCATCATTTTAATGTTGAAATCCCAAAATGTAACCGTAAATTTCTAAAAATAGTTTATTTTCCCACACATCTCGCATATGGAACTCTCTCCCAGCTTCTTGCTTTCCTACCAACAACAACATTAAAGAATTTAAATGCAATTTCAATCGAGGCTTACGGCCAGATCACCTCGAAACACCGGTTCTCGTACGATCACCGAAGATAAGCAACGTCGAGCGTGGTTAGTATCTACATGGGTGAATGTTTGGGAATACCAGGTGTTGGATGGGCAAGGTGGTGTTATGGATAATGGCTCTGAATTGTTGATCGGAGAACAGAGTTTCAGTTCCAGTCGGGTTCTTTATATTCACTTACGTGCAAATTACCCTTGGGAAAAGTATGAATCCACCTCTTCTCCCCCCAGCTATGGGTTAAATATAAAGACATGCATCACTAAATTATTATTATCACAAAAAGAAAATTCTTACAATCTAATAACATGCTCTGGCTTTCAATAACCTGCACTGGGTTGATAAGCCGTAAAAAACGAATCCATCAAAGAAATGTCACTCGCCATCTTCTGACTTTGAATCCTGTTCTTTTTATTGTCCTTTCTCATTAGTAACATTTGTTTCAGTTTCCTTCACTATCAGCAATGCCTCCTGTATTTGTGACACTTTATCGAATTCCTTGGGTGTAATGATTAATATATTCTATTCTTATTTATATATATTATTATTATTTTTTTTTATTTTCCCCTCTCTCTCCCTTCCTTACAATCACTCTATATATATATATATATATGTGTGTGTGTGTGTGTGTGAGCGTGTGTGTGAGTGTGTGTGTGAGCATGTGTGTGAGTGTGTGTGTTGACGAATTCAGACACAGTGGTTAGTATATAAATATTTTTTTTTTAAATTAGATTCTCCGACTTGTTTCGGCCAGCATGGCCATCTTCAGGAGAAAAAATCCTTGCTCGTTGGTCACAGTGAACTACAGGGGTGAATGACGGTTTTGAGGAAGTTGAACTTGTCCTATAATTCGCATTTGTTTTTCTTTATAGTTAATTTTTGGTCAATTCTGGAGTTGGGCTTTTTCAAGTTGTTTTTAAGGAGATTCCTGGGAGACACATGAATGTCAGATTTACCTCTTTATTTATTTTCACAGCTCTATTGGTGGCTGGCAAGCGGATGTGTCTTATGTGTATGTTATCTTTTAATTTTGGAGGAGCGTGTGTCATGTATATATGTGTATATATTTGTGAGTGTCCTTATGGATGACCTCATCATCTCTGTAAGCGTGTCAGTCTAGTGTGATAGAGTTTGGTAAGGTTAGGTGAGTTAGCTTGGACCCTTCATGGTGGTATACTCACCTACACAGAGTTTATAATGCGTGAGACAGAAATTTGGGATTATATATAAATTCTATCTGAAACAAATGTTTTAGGTTTGGTTGTAATATGTTGTATTTCCCAACGACTTTTGAGATAGTGGAGGTAGAGTACTATTGAAAATGGTTACTCGAGGGATGCGTTTGGATTTATTTTTACTTTAGGGTGTCTTCACTCGGTGTGGAAATTTATTTATTTATTTGTTCCATAATTAAGTGTTATTTATAGCTATGTATTGGGAATTGCTGCTTGAGATTTTTAGTGTGTTTATTTAGTTCTTCAATGTTGAAACATTTCCTTCTAAGTGTAAGTGCTTGTAAATAGAGAAGTTTCTCTTTGAGGTGTTTTTGGTGGAAAGACTTAGTGTAGATAAGTTGTGGGTGTCGGTGATTTTAGTGTGCAATGTTGTTTGTAGTTTTCTGTTTTTATCAATGTAGATACTGGTGTCTAGAAATGTTAGCGATCGTGTTGATTTTTCATAGACAAATATAATGGAGTCATGTACTGTGTTTAAGGCCTTAAGGAATTCAATAAGATTTTCCTCATTGCCCATATATATGAAGAAGATATCGATATATCTTGTGTAGAACATGCAGTGATTACCAATGAAAGGATAAATATGGGTTAGCTCAGATTTGTTCAGAAAGACTGTGGCATATGATCGAACTGTAACGATGCCCATGGAATATCCTTTTATTTGTGGGTAGTGTCTTCTATTAAAATCGAAACTATTCAATGCGAGGATGTGTTCCATAAGTTTTATGATTACTTCTGTTGGGGTTTTTTTGTTTTGTTCTTTTAGTAAGTGCTACTTTAAGGCCGGCTAGTCCTTCGTTGTCTTAGATGTTAGAATAATGAAATCTAACGCCCATGGTTACTAGAGTTGCATTTTCTGTTACTGTTTGTATATGTTTAATTCTCTTTAGTAAGTCTGTTGTGTCTATGATGTAGGATTTTACATCCATAGTTAGGGGCTGTATATTGTGATCAACACATTTGGATATTTTAGTTGTGTGGCAGTTAAATGATGGAAGGACCAGTTTTCCTGTGTTGTTATTTTTGTATATTTTGGAAGGAGATAGAAGCGGGTTGGTGTGATGTTTCCGGATAAAAGTGTTGTGCATATTTCCTTGTCAATTAGTTTATTTTGAAGTATCATGTTTAGCGAGATTTTTAATTATTTTTTTGTATTCGGGGAGTGGGTCTGTGGGTAGTCTTTTGTAGGTGTTTTTGTCGGGTAGTTGGTTTTTGGCCTCTTTAAAGTATTAAATACACGACCTTTGTTAGCGTGTGAAATGAGTTATGTCATCTCTATGTGTCACAGTGTGTCGAGTGCACCCCTTCCCGTTTACTTTCAGTGACATCGTTATGTGTCAACTTAGGTATTGTTTTTTTGTCTTTCTTTACTGCCATTTCAAATGGTTGTATAGTAGCGTCCATGTTTTGTGGGGTGAATATAGTTCTTCTCTTTTGATGTTTCTAATATGGAAGGTGCGCTGTTATTGTCTCCATAGTGGGCTTTTAACCGTATTCTTCTAAAGAAGGATTTTAGGTCCCTTGCCAAGGCGCCCTTATTAAACCGTGGTGGACTAGGGCAAAAGCTTAGTCCTTTGTTAAGTAATTTGAATACATTAAGCGAGAACTGACAACTACTTAGATTTATTACTCGCCCATACCGCTTATATTTGTATTTGCAATTATGAAGGAGGTTCTTTTGTAAAAGCTTGCATAGTGTTTTCTTTTTGGGATGCTATACCCTCTGCCAAGTTGGTGTGGGGGCTTAACCCGTTGGACGGTTTAGCGAGTTTTGGATTGTTTAACAGGGGCTAATTTGGTGGGTCTGGAATGTTTAGTGGGGATATATGTTCTGAGTGCGGTTTGTGTATTTCTGGATGTCACCTTAATTAGGCAGCATATGTTCATCCAACATGTTTCATTGATTAATATAGATATATTGTGTCTATTTATTATTAATACTTATCCTTTCCATGTGTCTAATCAGTTTCTTGATGTTAAGATGTAATTCATCAAGGAAGGGGCCGTAGCTTGTTTTTTTTTTTTTTGTTGTTTTTTTTTTAACCGAGGTACTTCCGACCTTTTCTAAGATCATCTTCAGCTGTAAACTTATATATATATCAGCCAAACTTATTGTAACTGCGATAAAATCTGCATTCCGTTGTCATGGTCATTTTTAAAAACACGCACGAACGAGCTCGGTAATAGTTATTTTTGAAGTATATATATATATATATATATATATATATATATATATATATATATATATATATATATATATATGAATATATATATAAATTATATATATATATATATATATATATATATATATATATATATATTGAATATATATATATATATATATATATGAATATATATATATAAATTGAATATATATATATATATATAAATTGAATATATATATATATATATATATATATATATATATGCAGTTTTATATATATTATTTATATATCATACATGCGCGATACTTATTGGAAAGTGCTCAATATTAGTCATAGAGCTAACATATTTAGTTGGATTGATGAGTCTCAGTCGGATAGAAGGTGAATGAACGCGCCTGCATAGGTATATATGTGTGTGCGAGAAAACATTATTCCGCGAACGAAATTAACGAAACTTCTGTGCGTTGACACTGCGACTTGCGAAAGAAGTTCGCTACACAATCCAACATTTAATACAGCGATTGCGTACGTATGCATGCAACGACACATGAATGCGCATATACAGCCAATTCCACACTGTACATATATGTCGATGTTTTTATGAGTTAAAATGCGTGAACGTGCGAGTATACATGCCTGCATAGTTATGAGTGGCGTTCCGACGTAAATTTTTCCTCTCACTACCATAAAAACACCGATATATGCAAACATAAATAAATCCAAAATTTAAAAATTAATCAGTTTGGCTGACGATCGCAAAGAGCGTGAAACCCAGGCTCACAAACGCAAATCAATCCAACTATATATATATATATATATATATATATATATATATATATATATATATATATATATATATTTTTTCTCTGTCTATTCACATAAGCCTATCATTCGATTTCACAAAGTTCATATATAATCTATCTGAATGTGTAATTGCAAGCGACTGAAATTATTTTGGGTTGATGATAGAATTCGCATGTGGCGCAGACCCCACGAGGCCATGAACTAAAATTCTCATCAAAGGATCATGAAGACTGATGGTCGTTTCAAAATGCTGCAATGTGCATTTACATAGCATCTGTTGGGTCCGCTGATCTGCTGAGATATGATCGTTACGTTACATTACTTTCTGACCATTTGCACACATTCATGGACTCCCTGTAAGACACAAACGATCGTTTATTTCAGCAATTGCATGAAGGGTGTGGTCACCCCGACTGTACCCGACTGAACATTTATGGTACGTACATTGAATAATTATTTTCCCCTCAACTCCCGTATATCCCGTGTTTATCTGTATCAAAATTAATGACAATGTTAATGTCAATATTTCCCGAATTTGCTTCTCGTCTTGAAACAAAACCTGTATAGCATCACCATGATTTGGGATTATAACAAATATATATCAATAAATATACATATACCTTTACACAACGAGTTGTGCTAGCGATGAGGCATATGTATATTTATTGAAACTTCATTATTTTCATAGGATCTGTTCTGACGAGCTATTTCCCCCGATGTTAGACTGCATGAATTTAAGCGTGCTACTAGGTTGGCATCTAAGTCCAGTCCTTTAACTGTCGAAATAGTTAAATGTAAGTGCCTCTTCTACTCCAACAGCTTCTTCTCTCGCAATTCTCGACAATGGAACTTCCTTTCTCTTATTTGCTTCCCTGATAAGTACAATCTTCAAAAATTTAAATGTAACGTCAATCGCCATCTTCTGATTCCTTGATTCCCGTTCTTCATTTTATCCTTACCTCAATCCCCCCCTATACTCAGTTTTTTCTCTTAACTTCACTCTTTGTGACCCCTTGCATACTAGTGGCACTCTCAGCTTGAGGGTAGTGAAATTTTTTTTAATTTTTTTTTATAAAAACGACCCTTCTAGCACAAGCAAAATTGTAGAGATGCTACTCTAGCAGTAGTAAAAAGGAAAAACACAGACGTATCTTCTTCGCTGCGGGAAAATCTACAGTTGATGGTTTCAAAGACTAATCTTAACCACGGAATTCTCGGAACAAACAAAATCAATTAAGCGCAAACATTTAAAGAAACAAAAGAGACATTAACACAGAGAACATTTTTAACACACACCACGCCGATATTATACTTATCACAACAAAAAGAAAAAGTATACATTATTGTTATTAATGTCAACACATGTCGCAAATCCTTAGTGTTGTTATCCTTCTAAGTTTTATTCATTTCATTTTGAGTAAAAAAAAAAAAGAGAGAAAATTCCTCTATCAACTACAAATACATATAACAACATGTTAACTTATATTATTAACAACCACAACACATTCCACCCCGTTACATACTTAATAGCTATATATTACATCGAGAACTGTTTTATTAACACCAGAACCATATGTACGATATATTATACACTTCAACGTTTAACCCGTGTAGTAATGAGTTAAATGAGAATTTCTCCGTTTACCAATGGCAGAACATTTATATCGGGAGCAGGCAGGTATGATTTTTACATACGGTCGCCCGAATGGTATTGGATGCGAGGCTGCATGGTTGTATCAGATTGCTTTTTCAGACCGAATGCAACCGAGTCATTCAACCTTGCTGAGACAGGATCCGTGGCACGACAAACCATAGATCGAGGAAGGCCGAGATCCGCCCGTACACCTGACCACAAAGAACACATTCTAAAGGCTGTCGGGGACGATCCAGGTATCAGCACACATTAAGTGGTTCAACCATGTCGTATATCTCATTACACCACATGGAGGGTCTTTCAAGAGCAGCTCCTGAATTCGTATCATTTACAACGTGAGCGTGACCTTTCACGCTCTGATCACTCACCACGGAAGAAATTTTGCCAATGGTTTATTGCACAGATTGCCGATCCGTTGTTTGGCTCTTCAGTCTTGTTAACAGATGAGGCAACATTTGGAAAGGAGATGAAATAACAAATTTTCACAATCAACATTTTTGGGCGGATCAGAATCCCATGGTAAAATACAGGCTAGACACCAGCATCAGTTTATGATTAATTTATGGGCTGGAATTGAAGGTAACAGTCTGATAGGTCCATGTGTTCTCCCAACAGGACCTGTCTACAGAAACTTTATTTCAAACATACTTCCATACCTACTAAAGGATGCACCCCTGCTAATACGAAAACGCATGGGGTTCATGAATAATGGAGCACCGGAACATTTTAGTCACATTCTTCGCGATGCACTGGCTATCATGTACCATGGAAGATAGATAGATAGAGAAATACAGGTCCCATGGCTTACATGTTCCCCGGATCTAAGTCCTGTGTATTTTTAACCAAAAAAAATTAGTCTTTGCAGCAGATATTAATATTGCAGAGACTCTTCATCAATGTAACATGGGTGCCTGCGAAACAATTCGACACTATGTAAGAGTATTTCGAAGGGTCCATCAGTCAATGATCCGGCGGCTGCATGCGTGCGTAGAAGCAAGCGGCGAACAATTTGGACATTTGTTACGAGTTGCTGTGTTGAGGTACAATAATGGCCTTTTGGATATATGTTTATATGGACATTTTACTTTGTTCTCGTGTCATTAACCAGTCGCCAAACTTTGTAAAAATATTTTTGATACAACATACATATATATATATATATATGTGTGTGTGTGTGTGTGTGTGTGTGTGTGTGTGTGTGTGTGTGTGTGTGTGTGTGTGTGTGTGTGTGTGTGTGTGTATACAAATATCATATCATAAATATATAAATTCTAAACATGCATTTCTTGAAATCTTCAGATGCGGGAGATATTCTGACCAATATGGAGTTCTCGCTCTCGTGGAGATGATTCAAAATTGTGTGTTATAAATTGTTTCTCCAATTATTGTTGCCTAAAATATTAGAATTAATTATTAATAATTTATATCATTCAAATTCTTAAGTGTGAAACGTGAAGAATTAAAAAAAATATCAAGGGGGATAACTCTCCTTTTGCATAAAATGCCATAATTATACGAATTTAATTAACTAATACTCGGTGTGTAAATATAAGGGTAAAATATAAATAATAGGCCGAGACTTTATATCTGCTGTGTTTGGAACCGGGCCTTATGCTTACATAGGTGAAATTATATATCTACAGACGTTATAAATTAACTGAGTACAGTAATATCGGATTGCAAGTGTGTATAGATATATAATATTATTAATGATGGGTTCTCAGAATATTAATAATTGTTACATATTATATTAATATTTGTAAAATCTATTTTGTTCTCCATTTTAACCGGGGTCAATGTGTTTGAGCAGGTGCTTGGACTTAAGGATACATATAGGAATCATTTCGGATCTGGTGTTCAGCAAGGGTTATTTAAGTGTTTTAATATAATATAAAGCTTCTCCAACAAACACAAGTTACATCTGTCTCCAGTCCTTTGTCTCCATTGTCTCCCAGTTAATGTTTGGATTCTTATGGTTGTTCTTTCATCGCCAAATATATTTTGAAAGTGTTAAATATTTAGTGACTTTACAGTTTCTCATAAAGATATACGGTGGCATTACAGTCACTAAATATTTTTATAAGAATTTTGGGAGATAATGATTTTTTTACTGATACTAGACCTTCTAATTAATCCACAGCTGGAGAGAAAAGTGGATTCATAGCTTACCCAAGTGGATTTGCGCGTAAGTGAATAGAACGAACCGAATGGAATTGAAACATTTCACATCGATTTCCAATTTTGAGCCATTATCCATTACACCACCCGCACCTCCAGATTCAGTCTTACATCATCTGGTATTCTAAAGTGGTCACCCGCCTAGGTACTGACCAGTCTCAATATTGCTTAACTTCGGTGATCGTACGAAAACCGGTGTTTCAACGTGATATATTAATCAATACCGTATTCTGACTACCAGTTTAAGCGATCTTCATGTGTGTGTGTGTGTGTGTGTGCGCGCGCGTGTTGAATTCTGTAAACTATTTAATATAATTATTTACTGGTAATAAAAGAATTAAAAAGCAAAATGCTTCGCTAAACTGATACCAAATTTTCGAAGAACTAATAACGTTGAAGTGAAATAAATTCGCCTTGAGAGACTAATGTAAGAAAGTGGGTAACACTGGTTAGAGAGGAAAGGGTGTTGGGATTGGAAGCAAAAGCAATTATTTGCAATCTGGAAAGTCAATAGCGCCACCATTGCAGCCGATCACTATTTTCTTAACGACCCCAATAGTTTCCATCAATCGGGCGCCATTTTGGTCATTGAATGACGGTTGTCGGTCGTCTCCAGGCTCAACCTCCCTTCCGGCATTTCGGATATTGCTGTCAATCAAAGAATGGTCGACATTGCACCTGGAACTGATGCGCAATGATGAGAACGTACAACTTTCTTCAAATAAAGATGGATAAATAAATTGAAAAAAGTAATTTAAATGACACAGGAAAATCATGATGAAGAAAATGAACGACTATAAACAGTCAAGATTGGTTCGCGCTCACACACGCACATAAGTGTAAGTAGATGAATGGCAATTGTTTTTTTTTTAATCTGTATTTCGTCCGTAAATTAATGGTTTTATCGATGAAGTCAGACTTATAAATATAGTGAAATCGGGAATACCAAAATAACTCAAAAGATATCGAAGTTTTAATTTAACTTCATCTTTCTATATATATATAAGGTGCCATGGGTAATTTTTTGCGATTTTATTTATTTTTTTTAATTTCGCGCATGCGCGTTATTTCTTTTTGATTTTGTCGACTGAGCAAAATAGTAACGTCAGTTGGGTACCGTGTGTGAGAAAACGAGCACCATGAAGCAATTCACTCCCCCAGAAATTTGGAAACGGCATTTTGTACTAGAAACTCAAATACGAACATTTTAGTGTGTTTCGGTGTCGATTTGAGGACAGTGCAGAGGATTCGGAAAGAGCTGAAAGAATCTAATGGCGATTACGAATGTACGGCAGCTCGGAAAACTCACTAATTTAATATTTAACTTAATAATAAATTCAATATTTTATTTTAAATAATAATTATAAATTACAAAATACTCCATATAAATTTTTTGTGGGTTCTAAATTATCTGTGGCCCATCGTGGTCCCCTCCCATTTTTCAAACTTGGCCTTGAGGCCCCTGAAAAAATCTCATGGACCCAAGCGGACATATGGCCACGTTGAGAAACCTTAACGCAGAATACAAGAACCACACACTTACCAAGGTTATGCTACGTGCCATATACCCTGATACCAAGTTTGTAATTATATCATCACCTGTAGTATTTTACGCCACGTGGCACAAACATTGTTATCAGACCGCCTCCTTTGATTTTTGACAGTTCCAATATAATATATTTACTTTTTTGCAACGAATGCGAAAAAGGAAAAAATACCAGGTACAGAATTTCTTCTTCGGTTTAATAATAATCATAAAACCTATCAAAGATAACAATCTCAATTTCACTGTAGTTGCACATTTCAACCAATCGGGTCATAGCATTGATAACCTTTTAGCATTTTCATTTAAACACTGAAAGTTCAAGGTGAAATAGATTTTTAAAATAGATTCACATATAGGATTACATAGAAATTTAGGCTTACTCAAAGAATAGACTTTCCACAGTCAAAATGCCTACTAATATAAGATATTAATAATATTATTGTCATTGTTGTTGTTGTTTTTTATCTCTCCGCGTTAATCGGCCTATTAAATCTACATATTAAGAAGCATACGGGCAAAATTTCGGGATAACAACTGAGACATTATACTACTTATTGAACTATTTAGTTCATGTCACATTGATTGATAAACTCCCACAACAAAAATTTTCAAATTGCCATATGAGTAAAAAAATGAACTCACTTAAATTTTCCAAAAAATTCAATCTAAGCGTTGCGACTGCACTCTCCAAAAGTGTGTATCCGTTATTAATAACACATTTCATAACCCATTTCGATTCGCATTATATTTTTTCGTCTCAGATAGTACCTGAATTTTACCAAAAACAAAATAATTTCCATGCCTGAAGATGACTGAATGTATAGTCGAAAGTACTTGCGTATTTAAGAAAAGACCCTATACAAGAATCATAACATTCATTGAGTGATTAGTAGGTTAATGTATCTTAAAATTTTGTTATCAAATTTTATATGATTTTACTAATTTACTTTTTTATAAAATGATTCATTGTAATATATATATATATATATATATATATATATATATATATATATATATATATATATATATATATATAATATTATAATAATAATTTTACATTACTACAAAAAAAGCTAAGATTATACTTCCTTGCTCTACTTCGTACTGAGCACTCTTTTTTTAAAAATAAAGTAAATGCCACGAACTGTGGATTTTCACTACATCTGTTCACATGGCCCAGTGGATGAAAATGTTGGTTAGATCCAGTGACTAAACGCAAAGAGTTGTGAGTTCAATACCTGGCCACAGCAGTGGTGAACTAAAACTTAGAGAGTTGAGTTAAAGAGAAATAACTGAGACATCTCGAAAAGACATGACACGTGGAACTAGAACAATCTACCCGTGGACGAAATAAAGCGTTCGGTTCGAAGTTCCAATTACCTGAAGAAAACCGGAGCGTACAACGACTGAAACGTTGTGAATATGACAGTGATGAGGAGGATAATGCAAGTCGTCATATATTTGTTTCTGATATTTTTGATTTTTAATTTATTACAAAATTCATCACAGATTTTTTTTTTTTATGCGTGGAAATAATTGTATCAAGAAATGGGTTTAAATTTCAGATAGTGTGCCGGCTAGTTTATGTGGGGCGTTGCTTATTCATAATACAATGGGTCTCATCGGGATGTCCGGTTTGTGTAGGTTTGGTAATCCGTAAAGCGTGAGTGTTTTCGGTTTGGGTTGGATGAGTTTTAGCCAGTAATTGTCCTCATTATTTAATAACTTCTTGGTTTGGCTTTATATGCTTTACGTTTCTTTTATGACATTGTATTCATTTATTTTATCGTAAATATTATTATCAAGGAGGTATCTCATAATTATGGACAAACATATTTATCAACAAAAAATAATTCCACTGCCGGAAGAGGATATGTGAATGTTTTTGTAGTCTGATATATCTTTTAGTGTTAACGCTCTTCATTAAATGAATTGAGCACTATGGCTGGCTGGCGTTTGTTACATTCGTAAAAATAATATGTTAGAATTTCTATCCCCCCACTCCCGCATACGCTGATAGCTCAGAGGTAGAAACTCTTACTAATACCCAATCGGTCGAGTTTCGATCCCGGCTTGACGTAATTGGATGTCTAGCCGCATAGTGCCGAGCTGTGTTAAATAAAACGTTTAGGCATTGTTTACATCTACGAATGGTTTTTATTTGCGCAAAGTGCAATAATTCAACATTATTTGAAACCAAACAAATTATCTATATCTCAGATTTTCAGTCCCAATGTGGTACCTGTAAAAACGATTTTAGAAAATGATCGATTGTCCAGAGCCTCCATAATTCTGAATAATTTTATCTTTCCTGAGAATGAAAATTCTGACATGTTTGTAACAAGGATGAACTTAGCCAATAATTTTTCTTTTCCTTCTTAAAATCCTCAACCTTTGACCGCCAGTCCGAAATTATTCGGACCTGTCAAAATGGTCTTACAAAACAACCAGACTATATTTTTATCATTTTTATGAAGCATTAAAATAATTGCAATCGGTGGTGAATAAGTATTAATTTTTGCAATTGATTATTTAATGTCATTTTTTTTCACTATCCATTATTGTTCACGTGAAAAATTAATTTGTGATTAAATTTGACAGTGTTAATGGTTCACCATGCAAGTTCACGAGGAGAATCCAATGGGTTTCTCTCTCTTTCTGATGTTTTTCCCTTTACACTTCTCTCTTTCTGTCTCTCTCTTTTACTCTCTCTCTCTCTATATATATATACTGTTTACATTTTTCAACACTATTCAGTCTCTATATTTAACAGAACATTTCTACTTTATGTATGTTCGTGTGCGTGTATGTGTATATGTATATGTGTATGAATGAGTGTGCATATATGTGTGTGACTAAAACGTTTTTATGCTATTGTTCACTCAATACAAGGCTCAAGAGGCATTCAAGGTAAAGCATTACTGAAGGAATGTGTTTTATGAACGTAAGAGAAAGTAGGAATTGCACATTATGAGGATATGGGGGATAGATAAGGGTTAACCCTTGACAAGATTGTACTTGTCGAGACAGTACTCTCTCTGTAATTTGATCCACAAAGCAATGGCACTTTGAAAGAAGCAGTCCGATTATATATGGGGGGAGGAAAATTCGTTGTACATGATACTCTGGAGCAGAAATGAATTATCGAGAAAGGTCGTCGAATGTGCGTGTTCATAAGCAGTAATTTGAACATTGCTAAACCGGAAGTCCTCTGTAGCTGATTCGGTTAACGGCACGACAGGCCAAATGACGGTTTCCGTATGGGATACAGGTTTGATTCTTGTCGGAGGACGCATATTTTCTACGAGGCCGGTAAATGTAATTCGTACTCTTTAATTAAAAAACACAGTATTTACTCAAATAAGTTGCATCTATAGAAATAACGTATAAACAGAAAATAGAACATATATATATATATATATATATATATATATATATATATATATATATATATATATATAGTCCGATTGATATGAGCTTGGGTTTCACGCTATTTCTGATCGTCAGACAAACTGATTAATTTTAAATTTTGTATTTATATATGGTTGCGTATATTGGTGTTTTTATGGAGGTGGGAGGAAAAAATGTCGCCGGAATGCCACTCATACTTATGCAAACATACATACACGCTCGTTCACATATTGACGTACGCAGACATA